GGCAAAGGTGGAGGCTCTGCCTGGTTTCTTGACAAAGTGATTGTAAGAGAGGAAGGACAAGCTGAGGCAAATGCCGTGGAGTTCCCCTGCAACAGGTGCTCTCATCAGTCACAGTTATTGCGGGGAAATAAAATCGACACTAACTAGTCACTTTGTTAGGAACACATCTTTAAAGACAGCCTGCCTCATTTCTTTATTTTGATGTGCACATAAACTAAAGATCCTGATCCTGAAGATTTTATTTGCTGCAGTGCTGGCACATGAATGAATGATTGGATGATTACATGTTCCTAAAAACATGTTTTGTATATACATAATAGTTGTTAAACTGTGTGTGTGATGGATGAGATAATAGTTTGTTTACTGAATGTGGCATGCAGATGGCTGGCCCGCAACGAGGATGATGGACAGATTGTCAGAGAATTAGTTCCGTTTGCAGAAGGACAGCGTCTTTACAGTAAGTTAAAGGAATCTGACATTTCAGTAACGTTTGAATTTTATTGTCATGCTTATATTTGTTCTCTGTGTGTGTCAGATACCAACTATCACATCGCTGTGAAGACAGGTGACATCCCCGGAGGTAGCTCTGACTCTGATGTGTTTGTGAAGCTCTATGGAGAGAAAGGTGACACCAGTAAGATGATGCTGGTGGTCTCTGCCAATGACCTGGGGAACTACTTTGAAACAGGCCGCGTTGACATCTTCACAGTGGAAACCTTTGACATTGGACAGGTTTTTGTCATTTGATGTTGATGCCAATGTAAAGTACTATGCATAAGTCTTCCCCTTCAATTCTTTATATTTTGTTTCCATGAAAATGGACTTTTTTTTTGTAATTTTTTATGCACCAAAAGGTGATTCCCTTGTTTCAATTGTACAGACTGTGTTTTTAGCACATATTTTCATGTAGGTTTGCACATTTTTCAATAAATCTTTGCACCTATTTTCCAAATTTCCTTGCAAATTATTATAAAGATTATAAATAAGAGGTGGCTGGAGACTTTTACACACTACTGCAGTATTATGAAAAGCTTTACTAAAGACCTATTCTCACTTATGAAAGACACATAGCCTTTTGTGATTCATTCTATTCTATTATACGGTAATACTATCCGTATTCTAATAAAAAAAGATCTTAACTGTAGTCTAAATGCATTTGTACCCTTACTGCTAATTACTGTTGCTTAGTTACTGTTACAAACACATCATAGAAACAATGTTTGTAGTGTCTGTTTGTGGACAGTGGCTTAGCAACAATAATTGTCAGTATTATTATGATTTTTT